AAAAAAATACCAACAGTGAAACCTCAAGCGTTGGCCCACATCCGCTACCCCAACGGGAAAAGCTTGACGAGCTGCCGACGTGGGCGAGAGGGGGCTAATAATAGCAGAGGTCCTGATAGCACCACCTTGACCTGGACCTTGGCCTTTCCCAGGGATGATGCGCAGGCGCCCGGGCGTCCTGGGCAGCCGAAGTTGCTCCAAGGGCAGGTGCGATCCCATCCCTGGAAGCTCCGGAGGGGAAAGGAGGTCTTACCACCTCCCCGGGTCTCATCTCAGTGGCCCTGGGCTCAAAGGGTGTCTGCTCTCCAGCATTGCTTCCCTCCATGCAAGGAGCCCCATGCATCTCCAAGCAAAGAGCTGGAGCGCCCGGGATTGATGCTTGAGGCTGCAAGAGCCACTTGCCTGGCGCTGGAGGCATCGGATCGTTTCCAGCCCTCTTCCTGCACTCCAGCAATGCGAAACAAGGAACGAGGACACGGAAGAAACCCACCCGGTCAAGGGAAAGGAGCCAAAAGGGTGAGGAGGTCCAAGCCGCGTGTGCCAAAGCACTGAGAAGGGGACACTGCACATGCGTGTGGTGCACTTTACTGGTTGAAGCCCTGCCGCCCACCATGGGCAGATGTTCCTGCACACCATTGATAAGGAGAGAGGAACCAGCTTTTCCCAGCAGGGATGGGCCAGGGTGGCCTGAGGAGCCACCGCAGTGAGTCCAGGGGTTGAAGGCTTGAGGGACACGAGGGCGTAAACGGGCAATTGGTTTGGAGTCATTTGTAGAGTCCCAAACGAGGCGCCACCACGGAGAGCATCTCCTCTCCCACGTCCCAGCAGCTCCTCCAGCAACACGGACAACGTTGACCCAGCTTGGCACTCACCTGCAGGAGGGAAGCCCTGGAGATGTTCAGGGCTCCCCAGGGCTGGAGGACGGGTATCCGCAGCCCAAGAGCCACCCAGGCCAAGCCATGGACTGAGCGCTGCTGCCAGGGACCACCAGGCGCTGGAGGGGCAAGGAATGACACGGAGCCTCCACCAGCACCTGGGCCGGGAGGAGACACTGAGGAAGAGTGCTGGGATGAAGGAGAGCTTCAACCCTCCTTTCCACCTCCACCTTGATGCCCACGGTGTCCCCGAGCCCCCGCTGCCTTCTTGGGGGCAGGTGGCCCCAGCTGCACTTGTCCCCTCCTCCCTTTGCTGGCCCGTCGCTTTTCCCACCCAAAAGAGGAGAGGCATTTGCGCCCAGCGCAAGGGATGGCGCCCATCCCAGCGGAGACCCAACTCACCGGCGTCTTGTCTAGGTGCTCGGATCTGCCAGGAATCGGGCTCTCATCCTCCCAGGAGCGCCGGATTCGCCGCAGCGAAAGGGGAGCCCCTCACTCGGCCGGGGGCGAGGGACCGGGGCGCCGGCGGCGGAGCGCGAGCGGGCAGAGCGGCGTCTCCATCGCCGTCAAAAAAGGCAACGAGTTGGGCTGACAAGACGTGCGCTCCTGGAATGGTGCTGCCTGCAAGGAGGGATATTTTTAGCCTCAAATCGCTTGCGGAGAAAGGCCGGAATTAACCGTTCCCTTATCCCGCCCGGCTCCGTCGCTGGGAAATCCCAGCGGAGCGTCGGGGGGACCCCCCTGCCCCGCCAAGCCGGGCATCGCTCAGCAGCTCGGAGATGTTTTGGGGACGTTTCCACGCCAGCAACGGCCGCGGGCGTCCTCTGGCCCCGCTCCAAGGCACGAGCGGGACAGCGGCCCTCGTTTTAACGCTTGCTGCTCGCAACGCGCTTGCACCTTGCAGTGGAGACGGGGGGGTCACCCACAGAAGAGCTGCCGCCCTGGGCTCTCCTGAGGGTGACGAGGACGTAAAGACCCCGGGGTGCTCTCGTGCTTGCCCTTGCAGTGCTCACAGGAGGGCAGAGCGTTGCAAAGGGCAAAGGGGAGTGATGGAGAGGAGGGGAGGGAGGAAGAAATCGCGGGGAGCGTGAAACGTCCGCGGCTGCAAAGCAGGAGCGGGCACGGGGCTCGGAGCTGCGTTTTGCGTTCCCGGCTCCCGGCCTCCAGCCAGGGCGGATGGGTGACATGGGGACCTGGGAATGCGGAGCCTCCTCCAGCCCTGGAGCCTCCGCAGTGCTTACGGGAGAGCTTTTACCATCAATAATTGATGCAGGTGGCAAGAGCGGCAAAGCAGGACACGGCTCCACCGGGAGCCTGGGGATTTTCCGCGGGATTTGGGCCGTTCCCGATGCCTTTCTGGCCTCCTGGGCCGGGGGAGCAGGGGAGCAGGGTCCTTGGGGTGGTGGTACACGCGTGGCCATTGCACGGCCTCTTGCTGGCCACGTCCCTGCACGCGCCGCTCTGCACGTGGCATCTCCGCCGTGGGGACCAATTTGGACCCCCGAGACGCCAGAAAAGGGGGGATCGGCCCCGTCGCCTGCAGACAGACGAACAGACGGACGTGTCACTCACGGGGACGGCAGCAAGGGCGCGCGGGCACATCCCGAAGCAGAGGGGCAACAGCAGCGCCCGCCGCCCCGACGCGTGGGGTGTCCCGGGTGCCAGGGCAGGACCAGGGGGGCACCGCGGCACCGCGGCGGGGCTCACCCAGCGAGCAGCTCCGCCACCCCTCCTTCCTGACCTAGTTAGCTCCTTCCTGCTGCCGGAGACTCCCGGCAGCCGAGCGAACCTCCCCGCTCCATGAATAAGTGATGGGACCCGCGGTTCTGGCAGGGAGGTGCCTACAAGCGGCTCCAGGGCCGGAGCCCATCAGAGCCCGGGCACAAGGGAGAGCCTCTAGCCGCGGCGCTGGCCCCACGGATGGATGTTCTGCAAGGGGGTCGCGCTGGAGAAGGGGATGCGCAGAGGGATGGGTGTCCTCAAGACGGCGCCAGGGATGTGGGGCATGCCAGCACGGTGCAAAGAGGGTTTGTGGTGGGCCGGGAGGCACAGGTGGCAAAGATCTCTGTGATACCGAGCTCTGAACGTCCCATTGTCCCCAGGCTGTCCCCAAATCCCTAAGGATCCTTGAGGCCAGCTCTAGGGGCGGTGTCCACCCACCCAGCACCAAGAAGAAGCTGAGGAATGAGGCCGGTGGCAGCGAAATGGGGCAGGACCCCAGGGAGAGCGTGGAGCCAGACGTGGGGTGGCATGACCCAAGCATGTCACCAGGGCCACGTCCCTGGCACCTTTCCCGTCCCAGGCAACAGAGAATCCCTGGGGGCACCATGGCACGAGGGAAACGCCATCCCTGCTCCCAGCCAACCATCGGCTTCTGGGTGCCTCGGCTGCACCCGGTGTCCCCTCCGTGTCCCCAGGGGCAGGTCCTGGTGTCCCCCGCCACCGTTTACCGAGCAAGGGCGATCAATGCCAGGGAGGAATTTGCTCGACGGGGCCAGCTAGGGCAGCGGCCCCGGGCAGCAGCACGTGCCAGGCTGTTCCCTGGCCAAACATCCCAGCAGGAACGCCCCCGGAGCTGGGAACGTCGGAGCAGATCAGAGGAGGGCAGGTTGAACACTGGACTTTGCTCACCCCCGTGGAGCTACCGCCCTTCCCTCTGCACCCATGGGACAAAGTGCCTGGGGCGCAGAGGTGGCTCTGCCCGGTCCCAGGGGGCCGAACGCGTGTGGGGGGGCACACGCGTGAACACGCATGTGCATTTTGCACGGGGGCCTGTCTGGGCGTGCACGCGTGTCTGCACGCTTGTGTGCGCGTGCACGGAGGTGCGTGTGAGCGAGGGTGCGCGTGTGCCTCTGCACACGTGTGTGTGTGTGTGCACACGTGGAGGGACATGGGTGTGCAATTGTGCCCGCACACGTGTGCGCGTGTGCAGGTGTGCACACGGGTTCACGCCTTCATGCGTCTACATACGTGCACACGTGCGTGTCCGTCCCGCTGTACGGCTCGGTGTCTGTCCTGTGTCTGTCCCGATGAGTGTCCCCATGTCCCTGTGTCCGCCTTGCCATGTGTCCATGTGTCAGTCCCACCATGTGTCCATGTGTCCGTGTGTCGGTCCCTCCAAGTGTCCGCGTGTCCGTCCTGCTGTGTGTCTGTGTGTCAGTCCCGCTGTGTGTCCCTGTGCCGGTCCCAGCGTGGGTCCATGTGCCTGTCCTGTCATGTGTCCGTATGTCCGTCCTGCTGCATGTCCGTGTGTCGGTCTCTCTGTGCGTCCATGTGTCTGTTCCACCACGTGTCTGTGTGTCCATCCCACCGCGTGTCCGTGTGTCTGTCCCACTGTGTGTCTGTCCCACCATGTGTCCATGTGTCTGTCTCACCATGCATCCATGTGTCCGTCCTGCCGCGTGTCCATGCGTCCATCCCACCGTGTGCCTGTGTGTCGGTCCTACCGTGTGTCCGTGTGTCTGTCCCACCATGTGTCTGTCCCACCGTGTGTCCATGTGTCCATCCCACCGCGTGTCCGTATGTCTGTCCCACCGTGTGTCTGTCCCACTATGTGTCCGTGTGTCGGTCCCACCATATGTTGGTCCCACCGTGTGTCCATGTGTCCGTCCCGCTGCGTGTCTGTGTGTCCGTCCCACCGTGTGTCCATGTGTCC